GGGCCCCTGTAGCGCCCCCTTTCTTCACCCCCCCAATGGGGGTAACACCCCAGCGCCACCCGCCCGAGGAGGGGGGACGTTTACCCGGCCGCCCACGTCAGCGCTCTGCTTCGCCGCTGTCGGGTTTCCGGGTGGTTCGTGCCCGCGTCTGTGCACTTTGTGGGGTGGGATATAGCCCCCTTGAGGGGAAGCAGATTTGCCATCCAGTCTCATTTTTCTGGACCCTGGACGGGCATCGTGGTCTTGTGCTTTGAGGTTGTTTTCATGGAGAAAAAATGCCCTCGAGGCTCTTCGGACGCCTCCGCCGCCGGCTCCCGGAGGTCTGCTCGCCTCGGGGCGTCTCTCCCGGCCGCGGCCACGCCGAGGGCACCCCGGCGGTGCCCGCGTCGTCCCGCTGGGCCGCCGGAGGCTCGGGCGGTGGCCCGGCAGCCAAAGGCCCCCCCTTGCGGCCGGAGGGGCCCTTTGGAGCGGCCTCTTGGTGCGGGCCCACGGGGCGCCCCTCCCCCCCCAGCACTGGCCCCGCAAGGCATGGGCTTGCCAGGTTTGCCCTCCCCCCCTCCTCCCTCCCCCTCCACAACTCTTTGTGCGGGCCCACGGGGCGCCCCTCTCCAGCACTGGCCCCGCAACGCATGGGCTTGCCCGGTTTGCCCTCCCCCCCTCCTCCCTTCCCCCTCCACAATTACCCGAGCAGTTTCTTTGGGTGGAGAGCAGAGGGTGAAATCTGAAATGCCGTTTCGATGGATTTTCGAGGTCTGAATCTGCAAGAGGCGAATCACAAGACGCAAGAGGTAAATCGTACAAAAGCCCACATGGATTTCGCCCTGAGCCCTCCACCCAAAGAAAATGCTCAGATGACACACTATGAATACGATTCTCCTCTCTCACCTGATGACTTCCGGAAGATGTCCAGCCCCCCTCCGCATACTGCTTTATGAACAGAATTCCCAGGTATTCCCCCTCTACAAGGACACGATCTGAATACTGCTCGCCTCTCTCCCCTCATGACGTCCGGAAGATATCCAGCCCCCCTCCGCGCTTGGGTTGTTGTTCAGTCCCGCTGATGCGCTGACCTCATTTTCGGGACTCCGCTCGTTCCGAGTCGTGCTCCAGCTGCAGCGCTGGCCTCATCTCTGCGCCTCCGCTCGTTCCTAGTCGTGTTCCCGCTGAAGCGCTGGCCTTCCTTCCAAAGAGGCCCCAAATTTAGAGAGTGGCCCCCCATAAGAAGTGATTCCACCCTTCGGTGTCGATCCTTTTTTTCCGGGCCGCGGACCTCCCTCCCCACCCACCTGGGGCGTCGAGCGGGAGCCCCGTTGCTGTTTCGAGGAGGCGATGCTGAAAGCAAGGACAGCGGGTACTCTCCAACAGCCCAAACAGGGCGTTTCCGGTCGTTCCAAATAGGGCCCAAAATCTAGAAAATGGCTTCCCGAAAGAACCATCGGAAGTGATTCCACGTTCGATGTCGATAATTTGATTTTCTAGGCCGCGGCCCCCCCCACCCACTGGTGCGTCGTCGTTTTCAGGAAGTATCAAGCGGGAGCCCCGTTTCTGCTTGGAGAACGCGATGTTCGAAGACAGGACAGCGGGTTCGTTCCATCTACCCCACCTTGTGTGGAGCTGTTCGGGGAGCCCAAGGCACTAGACATGGAGCAACGACTCCAGACCGGCCCAGCCCTTTACGAAGCCGATGCACTTACCCTCCAAAGAACCTGGCGCCATGCCATGACATGCTGTGCGGTGTTGTGTTCTGCGCCGCTGTGCGATGCCACGCTTTGTGTCGCAATTCTTTGTGATGCAATGTTTCACTGCGCAATGTCACGCCATGCCATGGCATGCTACGCTCTGCCGTGCTCTTCTACGCCATGCCATGCCGTGCTCTACCATGCATCGCGTACCCTCTCGCGATCATTGCCCTGCTCGACATCCGACTGTGCGAATAGAGAGGAGATCTACGCCATGGCAAAAGGGATGGGAGGGAGGGGTAGGACGTCAGATACGACGCGAGCGCAGTTCGCTTGCCCTCCCCACCTCCCCCTACCCCCCTCTCGCCCGCCGCCTCCCCCCCACCCCCCTCCCCCGCGACTCCTGAGAGCCGCGCGCCAAGCTCTGCCACTCTGGCGAGAGGGGGCCTTCCGTCGAGAGGGGGCCTGGCTTTCGGGGCATGATTCCGGGCTCCCGCGGCTGTTCAGGACGGTTCGGGCACCCCAGGCGCAGCTGCCAGAAACATCCCGAGGCGCGGTACCGACGAACGCGCCCGGAGATCCTTGAGAGGACCGCGAGGAGGCTCACCCCTGCCTGGGCCACCTCTTGGGTGCAGCTGGTCTTCGGGCAACTGCACGTCGGCGGAGTTCACGTCGGCCGCCGAGCTGGGCGCCCTGCTGCGCGAATGCCGGGCCTTCCCGCCGCGGTCGGCTAGCAAGCCCTGCCTCGGGCTTCTGGCCCTTCACCTCGGGCGGACGGGGGCGGAGAGGGCTGACGAGGAGGGGAAGGAAGAGAGGGGCCTTGAGCAGTCACATTTGCGGCTTCTCGCCCTGATTATTCGGCCGCCAGGTGCCCTCGCGGGGCCCCGGGGGCCGTCAAGGGGCGTCTCGGGGTGCCAGAGCGGTGCCCGGCGAAAGAGGCAGACTTCCAGCGGTCCACGTCGGGACGAAAATCACGACGTCGTAGCGTTTGGGCCCAGCGTCTTGCGAAAGCCAGGGCGGCGGATCTTCGTCGCTTCTGGCCTGCGGGGCCTGGCTTCGGCCCGCGGGGCCGTCGAGAGACGGCACGAGCTGAGGTCTTCCGGGGGGCCACGCGTCGAGGGCAGCCGAGGCGCCTGATGTCTGGGGCACCCATGGCGGACGGATCGGGCCGCGCGGGTGGACCTTCGCGCCTCGTCCTGCACAGTCCGCACCTTCCGCGCGGCGTGTGCCGCGCTGCCGCGGCCGCCGCCGCGGCCGCAGCGGCGGCCACCGTCGAGGCCACCGTCGAGGCCGCAGCGGCGGCTGCGGCGGCAGTCGAGGCCGCGTCGTGGCGGCACGCCTTTTGATTGTGCAGCCCCCCCCCCCGGGGCCCCGGGCAGGGCCCCTGGAGCCCGCACGCGGCGAGAGGCCCCGAGGAGGACATCTTGCCCCCAAGACCCCCTTGTGCCCGAACGTGGAGGAGGAGGAGGCGGAGGAGGAAGAGGAGGAGGAGGAGGAGGAGGAGGAGGAGGAGGAGGAGGAGGAGGAGGACGAGATGAGGGAGGAGGAGGAGGAGGAGGAGGAGGAGGGGAGGAGGAGGAGGAGGAGGAGGAGGATTGAGGAGGAGGAGGAGGATTGAGGAGGAGGAGGAGGAGGAGGAGGAGGGGAAAGAGGAGGAGGAGGAGGAGGAGGAGAAGGAGGAGGAATTGAGGAGGTCGAGGAGGAGAATCGAGGAGGTCGAGGAGGAGGAGGGCCCAGAAGGTGCAGGTCGAGGGATCCTCGGGCGGGCGCGGCCCAGGGGGCCCAGACGCAGCCCGTGAGCAGCCCAGGGATCTCCAGGGGCCGTAGGCCCCGCAGCACTGGGAACGGCCTGCGCCCCGGCTCCGCCTTGGCGGCGGCCTCCGCGGGGCCGTCCTCGCCCCCCCCCCCCCCCCAGGGGGGCGTCAAAGAGCGGTGGGGAAAAAAACACACACGTGGGGAAACACACACACACATGTGGGAAAACACACACACCACACTGTGTGTGTGTGTGTGTGTGTGTGTGTGTGTGTGTGTGTGTGTGTGTGTGTGTGTGTGTGTGTGTGTGTGTGTGTGTGTGTGTGTGTGTGTGTGTGTGTGTGTGTGTGTGTGTGTGTGTGTGTGTGTGTGTGTGTTTTTCCCCCCACACACTGTGTGTTTTCCCCACAGTGTGTGTGCGTGTGTGTGAGTGAGTGAGTGAGTGTGTGTGTGTTGTTTTTCCCCACAGGGGGGCGTCAAGGAGCGGCCCGCCGCGCGAGGCCGGACCTGCTGTGGGCGGGGTCGGTCGCCAGGGCTCCGAGGGCTTCGGCTGGGCGCAAGAGTGGCCTTTCGCCGGAGTGACCTTTGGTGCGGGCCCACGGGGGGTCCCGCAGTGGCGTCTGGCGCACCTGCTGCTGGCCCCCCCGCGGCCCCCAAGAAGCCGCGCACCAAAGGTCACCCTTACCCAGGGTCACTCTTGCGTATAGCCGAGGGCAGGACCAGGAGGTCCCCATGGCAGCCAGACATGTCCGCTTAAGCAGTGGAGAGGCGTCCTGGCACGCCCATCGGCCCACCAAACAATGTTCCGAGAACCTTTTGTGGCGTGCGCGAAATGCTCTTGGAACAGTTCTGACCGGGCCTGTCTTGTTTTAACGTGTCGGGTTTATGTTCTGAGAACATTGCTTTGTTGCTAGAACATGTCTAGGAACATGTCGTGGTAGGCCTACAGGAATGCCAGGACGGTCGGTCCCTGCTCAGCTCGCGTCGCGACAAAGTGTCGGCATATGCTTTTGGCAGCGTTCGGCCTCCGAGGGCCCTCGCCGGGCCCAGCCGTCAACAAATGGCTCGGGATGAGAAACGGGCCCTGGGGAAAGGGTCGGGCCTTGTGGGGGGCCCGTCGTGGAAAGACGGGCGGTAGCTCTTGGGACCCTGTTCACCGCCGGACAGGTTTTGGTCGTCAGATCTTAAGAACAGGCCGGCCATCTCGCGCCTCCCTGCATGCCGCGGCCGCCAGATCCCCGGGTCCCCCGAGTATCCCCGAGAGTCCCGCCTTGCGCCACTTTGCATTCCGCGGCCGCCAGATCCCGCGGTCCCCCCAGGGTCCCCGAGAGTCCCGCCTCGCGCCACTCTGCAACCCGCGGCCGCCAGATCCCCAGGTTCTCCGAGAGTCCCTGAATGTCCCACCTCGCGCGGACAATTCATAACATGACAGAGCGGCATCAGAATATACCATAACATAGTACAGCACAATGTTATCAGCAATGACAGAACATACCATAACATCACACCACCTGAGAGAACATATCCGAGCATACCAAACCACACCATGGCATAACTTATCGTAACAGTTCATACCAAGACAGAGCAGTGCATACCATAGCACAGCACCGCGGCATATAACATTCCATACCACGACAAAGCAAGCATACCATAATAACACATCGCAGAACTGAACATCCCAAAGCAGAACATGTCGCAGCCTCACATAACATGGCATATCATATCGTAGCACAACACACAATAACGCATGACAGGGCATTCTGCCTCAAACATAACATTACAGAACATGCAATATCATACAACAGCATGACATCACACCACAACATACCATGTCATACCACACTACAGCCGAATCAAGCATATCAGCATAAACAGTGTGACATGTTATATCGCAGCACAGATGGCAGCTCATAACATGACAGAGCGCGGTATAACGTTACACCGTAGCAGACCTTAACACAGCACAGCACAATGAGTTTTGATGGAAGCTATCATACATAAAGGATCAGCCCACCACATCTCATAACATAACCTAATCGAGCATACCCTAGCATGCCATGACATCACATACCATCGCATCACACACCATGGCAGAACATAGCACACCGTAGCACTGCATTAGTTCACATCGTATTCCATGAATCCAAACCATACCATGACAGACCGCGGCATAACACCGAACATCATAACACAGCATAACATTCCATGGCGCCATAACATAACGACGCATACGAGGCCATAGCCACGTGGCCCTCGGAAGGGTCTTCTGTCCTCTCGCGTGTCCTCTCCAATCAGGTCCGACTGGATTACTTTCTGATTGTTTTGAGGTATTGCTTGACTCTTTTAACTTCTCCTCCAAAGGCTGCCTGTAGGAGGACACGCCCGACCGGCCCCCCAGTCGTGGCGGCCCGAAGGCCCACGGGCGGAGGCGCACGCGACAGGGGGGGGGGCGGCGGCCGGAGGAGGACCGGGCGTGGCTATAGACAGCCCTGGAGAAGTGAAGCAGTGGCGAAGCGTCCTGGCGTGCCTATAGGCCTACCAAACAATGTTCTAAGAACCTGTGGTGCTTTCCTCGAGATGTTCTTGGACCATTTCTGGCCGGGGCTGTCTTATATTAACACATCGGGTTTATGGTAGTCCAAGAGTATTGTTTTAATTCTTAGAAAATTGTGGGGCTCCAAGAACATTTCGTGGTAGGCCTATAGGAATGCCGGGACGGGCGGTCCTTGCCCAAGAATAGCGATCGTTTTCTTTTCTCTTTTCATTGTTTTGCCGATCGGCGCGGGCCCCCCAAACTCCCCCGCCCTTTCCTCCCCCATGGCCCCATGGAGTAGATCTTGGCTGTTTTTGGCGCCTCTTTCGAGCAGGTGGAGCCTCCCCCATAGGACCCAATGCTGCAAACAGTCACACTCAGCAGAGGTCCTGAGCCAGACCCCCCCCCCTCCCCCCTCCCTTTCTGCCCAATGTCGAAACGCCGAATAAAAAACGCTCACCTGACCCTCTACAGGAGGAGAACTCAAAGATAGTCCAACATTGCCTGGGGATTTGTTTTGGTGTACTTCCGCATTGTTGTATATTTGTGGACCTTTTTTATCTTTCGTCCTCCGCCTGTAGGAGGACATGCCCGACCTAAGAACAGCCCCCTCGCTCGGGCGAAGAGGCCTGTGCACATGCGCCGATCCTGGCCAGGCCCAGCCTCGGCCCGGGAGCTGTGCACATGCCCTCCTGGCCAGTAGGCAGGAGGGCGTACATCGTCCTCGTCCTCGTCCTCATCCTCCTCCTCATCTTCCTCGTCCTCGTCCTCCTCCTCCTCCTTCTCCTCCTCCTCCTCCTCCTTCTCCTCCTCCTCCTCCTCCTTCTCCTCCCCCTCCTCTTCTGGGCCTTCGGCGCAAGACTCGCAAGGGTCTGAGGTGCAGGGTTCTCTTCTCCCCCCCCCATCCCAGCAGGGCTGCCAGCCGACCGCGGCCCCTCCACCGAGGAGTGGTCGACCCGCGGCTGCTTCGTCGGAAGAAAAAAGGCGCACGCGAGAGCCCCGCCCCCCAACCATACTTATATATATATATATATACACATACATACACACACACACACACACACACACACATCTATATACATATACACACAAGACTGCATTGGCGCTTCGCGCCATGCACCTCGGTCCTTGAAGTTCGGCATGCAGGGGGAATGGCAGGAAGATCGAGCCGACCATTCAGCGATAGCTCCTTTCTGCCTTGTCCGGCATCGCCGTTAGAATACTGTTATTCGTTATCTTTCCTCCATGTTTCTTCCTCCGCATTTTCGCCATACCCTGCGTATTCTCCTTATCCTCCTCAGCACTTTTGGCGGAGGCTCCTCCTTGGAGATCTTTTGGGGGTCTCACAAAAGTTGTTCAGGCTTTCTTAATCCCTTCTGGAGGCCTCCCGGGCGTCTTCTGGGGGCCTCTGGGGGCTTCCTTGGGCAACCCTGCCTCCAACCGCGGTCTCCCTGAACGACCGGGTCACGATTTGGAGCCCTTCCGAGGGCGTCTTGGGCCATCTTGGGCCGTCATGGGGCTCTCTTAGGCCATCTTGGAATTTTGTTGCGCCGTTCTGGGGCTCTCTTGGACTGCCTGGAAGCCCTTTCGGATGGTTCTAGGGCGATTTTCGAGCCTCCCAGGCGGCTTCGGACGCCCAGAAGACTGCCGTCTTGGAGCGTCGGGAAGCCGAAAAGAGGATAACCCCCTAAATTCACCGACAACCAATAGAAAAGCAATGAAGTTTGCCTCTTGGGGCCTTCTTGGGAGTGCTTTTGGAGGCCTCTTGGAATGTTGGAGCGATCTTTGGGGGTATGGCTTGGGGCTCTCTGGGGTGGTTTCGGAAGCGAGCCGGAACGCTTGGAGCCCCCTTCGGGACCTACCTCATTATGCCTTTTCTTGTTCACCTCGTGGTGTATTCCTCGTTCGTCTCCTCTCCCAGATGCACGCGTAGATGCACATGTATACGCGGATGCATGTGCAGATGTAGACGCAAAGAGGAGGAGGAGGAGGAGGAGGAGGAGCAGGAGGAGGAGGAGGAGGAGGAGGAGGAGCAGGAGGAGGAGGAGGGGGAGGAGTATGAGGTGGAGGAGGATGAAGTGACACAAGGGTGGCATGAGGAGGACAATCCCATCCGAGAAGGAAGGCCGAGGAAGGAGGAGGAGGAGGAGGAGCCTGCTCCCGCCGTGGAGGTCCCGCGCGAACTCTCTGTGGAGGAGGCTTCCGCCTGAGAGGCCCCCCCAAAGCCCAAACGGGATGAGGCTCCCGCCTGAGACAGCGCCGATTCAGCGTCGGCGAACGTCGATCAGCGTCGATTAGCGTCGATGTGGTTTCGATGTAGCGTCGGTCAGCGTCGATTTAGCGTCGGGATGGCGCCGTTTTAGCGTCGGCTAGCGTCGATTTGGCGTCGGTTAGCGTCGACTCGCAAGAGCCGACAAGGTGGTACGGGAGGCTCCCGTGAGTTGCCACCGAGCACTCGAGGGGCCTTCTGGGGCCCGGGGGGAGAACGAAGGGTGCACGTGTCTTCGCTCCCCCGTGTATCGCATCTTTCTGTACCCTCCGAGGAACTTCAGAATTCCTCTCCAGCAGTGGCAACGGGTTCTCTCTTCGTCGCCTTTATTGACGGTCTGGGGTCCCACCAACGTGTATTCGCCCCCCTCCCCATTGATCGCATCCCCTCAAACCTGCGAGGAACTTTATCCCCCCCCCTCAGGTAGTGGAAACGAATTCTCTCTTCGACACTCTTATTGACGGATTGGGGTCCAACCAACAGTGGGGAGAATTGTTTTCTCCGCGGCACCCGCCGCGCAACAACGACGACGACGACGACGACTACGACTACGTTGTTACGATTACGACCACGATACGATTACGGCTGCGGCTCTACGACTGCGAGTATTTAGCCACCACAGGTAGGCGGAGGCGGGGCGACGACTTCTGTTCACCGCCGAGAGAAACAGGGGGGAGGGCAAAACGAAAAACTTTCAGAGGTTAGGCAACGCCCAACTACGTCGCACCGGCCTCATCCCGATCCCTCTGATTGGTACCACCTTGTCTCGACGGCGATCGGAAGGATCCCCGTCGTTTCTGAGGGCGCACCCCTAATAGTGACATCGCCTTCGGGCCTTACAATCTCAGGGATGGGCGATAAGCTTCGAGCTGGTTATTGCGTTAGCCGAAGGATGCAACAATCAGCATATCAGCCAGCGTTGACTCCAAACATAGATAGGAGGACAGAAGGAGGACGAGAGGAGGATGGGAGGAGGACGGGAGGAGGACGGGGGGAGCAAAATCAAGCAAGCGCAAGCAAGCAAGCGGAAGCAAGCAAGCGCAAGCGAGCAATAACAAGCAAGCAAGAGCCAGCGATCAAGTGCAAGCAAGCAAGGGCAAGCAAGAGCAAGCAAGCAAGAGCAAGCAAGCAATAGCAATAGCAAGCAAGCGAGAGCCAGCGACCAAGTGCAAGCAAACACGAGCAAGCATAGGACTCGCCATTGGAGATAGCTGGGGGGCGCCATTGGAAATAAGGGGGGGTCCATTGGAAAAAGGGGGGGAGGCATGGGGTGCCATGGGAAATAAGGGGGGGGCCATTGGAACAAAAGGGGGGCCCTAGAGACCAATTGCTTATGATGAGCTAGGACTCCTATAGGGCAAGATGCACGTAAACTGCCTGGGATCTGCGGGGATGTGTGGGGTCGTCGCGGGGCCCAGTTGGCGGCACCTCACCTAGCGCGCTCCGCGAGTCCACTTTTACGTTGTGCGTGTGTGTGTGTGTGTGTGAGTGAATGTATGTGTGTGTGCTAGCTTTGTGATTGTGTCTATCTTGAGTTGTCTCATGCTACCTTAGTCTCTTGAAGGGTTCATCGCGTGCGCGTCAGATCCATGCGCGGCCCACCGACACCCGTCAGCGCCGAGTCTCGCCCGCGATCCCGCCGCGCGCCATCGCGGAAAAGGGGGAGAAGTAGAGGGCGAACGTGGGAGCCAATCGGGCGCCAAGATCATTACAGCGATACTCCGCAGACGCTCGCTTGACCACCTCTTCTGCCCCCACGGCTCCGCTTCACGAAGGGGCAGATGCAGACGCAGCAGGGCCAGATGGTCATGCAGCCGATGCCGCAGATGCCGATGCAGGACGGCGCCTGGCGGCCGGAAGAGCAATGAGAAGGAGGAGCAGGAGCCATACGTCTAGCAGCGCGGAAGGCTCACGACTGGCATTGTTGTCCGCGGGGAGGAGGAGGAGGAGGAGGAGGAGGAGGAGGGAGGAGGAAGGAGGAGGAGGAGGAGGAGGAGGAGGAGGGAGGAGGAGGGAGAGGAGGAGGAGGAGGAGGGGGAGGAGGAGGAGGAGGTACACGCCAGTCGCTGAAGGCAGCAGGTATGAGAAAGGCCTCACGGCCCCGGTGCCGCCGACCCCGAAGCAAGGGGGCAGTGTTGGGGGCTTTTGGGAGAGCATCCTTCCAGACAGGCGCCGTCGTGACTTTCCACGCGCGGTCCCCGGAAGTCCCCACTCTCTCCCCGGGGCCAGTTTTTCGCCCTGGGTCGTTTTCGACCGGCCCCGAGGCCCCGCGAGGGCCCCCGAGGCCGAAATTTGCCCCAAACCTAGCTTCTTTCAGCGTTCTTCTCTAGCGTCAGTTCGCGTCGCTCGCAAGAGCCAGGAGGATGAAATTGGCCAAAGGCCTCCCGCCCCGACTTTTGTTGTACGACGCGAGCGTGCATGGGCTCAGGAGCGAAAGAAGGACGTACACGTACATGAATCCACGGCCAGTCTCGCGGATCGAGGGGCCGTGTTCATGTCCATAGCTGGGCGCGTACGCCCTTTTGGCGATCCCTATGGGTTGGGGGCCTCGCACCCCCCCTCCCGCTCCGAGGGCCGCCCCTGGGGCCGGGCCGCCGCTCCCCTGCCACGGCGCCGCCCTCGCCCTGCTCGCGCCTCTGGGCGCCCCCTCCTCCTCGATCCTCCTCCTCCTCCTCCTCCTCCTCCTCCTCCTCCTCCTCCTCCTCCGCCTCCTCCTCCTCCTCCTTCTCCTCCTCCTCCTCCTCCTTCTCATCCGCCTCCTCCTCCTCCTCATCCTCCTCCGCCTCCTCCTCCTCCTCCGCCTCCTCCTCCTCCGCCTCCTCCTCCTCCTTCCTCCTCCTCCTCCTCCTCCTCCTCCTCCTCCTCCCCCTCCTCCTCCTCCCCCCTCCTCCTCCTCCGCCTCCTCCTCCTCCTCCTCCGCCTCCTCCTCCTCCTCTTCCTCCTCCGCCTCCTCCTTCCTCCTCCGCCTCCTCCTCCTCTTCCTCCTCCTCTCCTTCCTCCTTCTCCTCCTCCTTCTCCGCCTCCTCCTCCTCCGCCTCCTCCGCCTCCTCCTCCTCTTCCTCCTCCTCAGCCTCCTCCTCCTCCCGCCACCTCCTCCGCCTCCCTCTCCTCTCCTCGGCCTCCTCCTCCTCCTCCTCCTCCCCCTCCTCCTCCTCCTCCGCCTCCTCCATCCTCCCCTTCATCCTCTCCTCCTCTTCCTCCTCTTCATCCTCTTCCTCTTCCTTCTCCTCCTCTGCATCCGCATCATCTTCCTCCTCCGCCTCCTCCTCCTTCTTCGCCTCCTCCTCCTCATCCGCCGCCTCCTCCTCCTCCGCCTCCTCCTAGGTATTCTGGGAGATCCAGCTCCCAATCTACTTCAGGCGCCGTCCTACTTCCAGAGTCGATCGGTTGGGTCTGTTGTTCGTTGCTCGCTGGGCGGCCCCAAGCTCGATCTGATGTGTCCTCTTTCCTCTTTCGTGGCTCCACCTACTTCTTCTGCCTGGCGGGTACCGAGGCCGCTGGATTCCCCTCGAAGAGCGGACCCGAGTCCCCCCAGGGGCGGCGGCCGCGGGGCCGAAGTGCGAGGAGAGGGGCGGCTCGAGCCGAGACATCCGTGCGCCCCAGCTTCCTCTCCGCCGCCCCTTGCCCGCTTCCCTCGCGCTCTTCCCCTCGGTGGCCCCGCTCCTCCATGTCCTCTTCCCCTCTCGCTCCCCCTTCCTTTCTCCCGTCCCCATCCCTGACCCCCTTCCCCCCATCCATCTCTGCTCCCCTTCCCTCTCCCGCCTGCCCCCCCCCATATCCCCGTTTCCCTCCCCACTGCGCACCGACACCATCCGAGTTCAGTATTACTCCCCTCTCTCCCCCCCGACGACGGCCGGAAAGCAGCGCGCCCCCCCCTCCGCGCATGGTTTCGGTGCACCACATTGGTGCGAGCTGTGTTTCTGATGTCCTTCCCTCCCCGAAGGTTTTCGGTCCTTCAAAAACGGCGCTCCCGCTGGTTCCGTCGTTCCGAGTGGCGATCTCGCCTCACCGCGGGGCACGCTTCTAGATCCGAGTCCCTCGTCGTTGTCGCCCACCCCCCACCTTGCCCCTCCTCGGCCCTCCCCTGGTCCTGCGCCTCCCTATCCGTCCACTCCAGTTTCTGTTGCTGCTGCTGCTGCTGTTCGTCCTCGTCCTCCTTCCTCATCTTCTCCCATGGCCTCCTGCTCATCCTACTGCTCACTTGCCTCCTTCTCCAATGCACACAGCTCCCTTTTTCTGACTTTGCATGCGTAATACGATGGGT